ATATTAATATAACACTAATTCATCCCCAAAAGGTTCCATCAAAACCCTAGAAAACGAATTAGCTATTCATAATAGTATGTGAAAACACAATACTCAAAATCATAACCAACAATGAAAAATAGGAAGAGGAAGGAAAAACTCGTAGAAGAATTCTCCGCCTTGCTCCTAATGTGTTCTTGCCTCCTTAGGTCGAATCTATGTCTCCAATCTGTATAACCTTTCAAAATAGCATTTTTACATGTATTTATACCAAGTAGGGTCGGGCCCAGATGAAAAAAAACCATTCCTACGCGAACTAGGACTTAGCTCTGTAAAAATTGAACAGCCGCGCCGCATGCTGCGCCGCACCATGCGGCGCGGTAGTGCATTTTAGCTGTAGCTTCATATTTTCAAGTTAGGCACCATTTTACACTGCTGCGCCGCGCCTTGCGGCGCCCCATGCGGCGTAGCAGTGCAATTTTCTCAGAGTAAACTTATTTCGTCCTCTTTTAACATCCAGACTTGGTACACGACCCCCGAACACGATCCCGGCTTAATGTATTGGGCTTTTACTCAGACTTCAAAGCTCCAAATTGATCAATTTAGCTCCAAATTAACTTTTGAGCTCAGGATCACTTCCTGCAAGGCATAAAACACGTACTAAGTGCAATTCACTATCATTTGAACTCAAACGCACGTAAAAAATGCAGTCATTGTCATGTAATACTACGGCTAAAACACGGGTTTCTAGCCTAACATCAACACCCCACACTGAAACCATTGCTCGTCCTCGAGCAATCAAACTACATTTTTTATAGACATGACCTTTTTAAACAACTCTCCTAATTCATTATGCCAAGAATATTTAAAATAGATTAAGCACAAAAGCGTACATCTTAACCTCAACATTTGACTCACAAGCACCACGCATTATCACTCGCCCACTTACTCTAACATAGAGGTCAATGACATTACCTTTCCTTCATGAATCAAGTGCCCTCACACAACCAATGAGAGTAGTCCCACACTATAAAATTTAAGAACATTTAGGAACACAAGATAGAAAGAATTCACTCACTCTCAGAAATAACATTCATATGCCACAAAAGATGCACCATAGGCTTGCCCGTAGTGTACTACTCTACTAATCGAGCTCATTTAGTCTAGGATCAAGTAGGACTTTATTTGGTTGTAATGTAGGCTGCGGGACAGGTATGATACATTTAGATATAAGAGTGACTACACCTCCCTAAGCACTTTAATACATACACTTTAACATTTAAATCCCATACTTATGTCAAACCAAAACTCCACCTTCGCATCAATATATATTACCCTATTCTTCTTTAAGCACACTTACATCAAGAGCCACCACTTATCAAAGAAATACTTTTTTTTTCCACAGCAATACAACTATATTTTTTATCAATTCAAGTGGCTCTTACTTGTTCAAAATAGTGCACCTTTCTCCTGATTTCATTAGTTCCACTCAAAAGCCAAACCAACCACCCCACTTTAACTTTTACATAAATCATCACATTTCAAGTGCTTATGAGAGGTTAAAAGGTTCAAATAGATAGTCCATTCAAACAATCGGGTAAGACTGTAATGTGGTTGCCAAAGAAATAGGATTAGAGGCTCAAATGGGTTAACTACGATACATAACAATTAGGCGGGTAAAATATACTTATCTGGCTCAACAAAGAAATGCCTATATCACTTCCTAGACTGAACAAAACTACTATTTCGCTTTGCAAACACACGGGGCAAGTTCTAGGCATCAAATGCAATGCACAGAATAACAACAAACCTCACACGCACATGACACATGACTCACTCAGGATTGGTTACATCAAGACACTCTAGTCAAAGCAGTTAAGCAAATTTAAAAGCATACAATTTAAGGTACTTATACAAGAGTAAAAAAACTGAGCCTAAGCGTCACAACCAAAGTACTCACTATTCTCAAGGCATAACAAAGTCAAGAGATATTGCTTCAATTCAAAACACAACACAATGGCTCTTATTCCTTAAAAAAAAACTAACTACACCCGGTTTAAATAAAACCCTTGGAAAAGAACCGTGGATTAAAAAAAAACCAAGGGGGAATTGCTACACTACCTAACAAAAAAAATCTTTTTTTTTAGACTTAAATCCCAAGAAAATTATCTAATAGATCCATCGTCGGGAAAAGTTCAATCTTTTAAAAAAAAATATTTAATTAAACAAACACAACTAAAGTAGCATGAAAAGTCACCCACACAATCTCCTCACCCCACACTTAAAATTGTGCATTGTCCCCAATGCACACCCATACATACAAGAGGGTAAAAGAAACTCCCTGGTAGGCCAAAGGCCGAAGCACTAGCAGTTCATGGGGTACTCAGACTTCTCCCAAGCTTGGTCCTTCGTGCGGGTACCTCACACTTAGTTCCAACCATTTGGTTTGCTGTTGCATCCTTCCAATCGCTTTGCTTTCCATGCTCCTAGAAAATCAAAAATCGACACTACAAGAATAATACAATTAAAAAAAAAATAAAAAATAAATAAAAGAAAGCAATAAAGCCGGGTTGCCTCCCAACAAGCGCTTGATTTAACGTCACGGCACGACGCGAATCACTTTTTTTTTGCCTCGACCTCGAGCTTATGAATTGAACCCCAAGTTTTGATTCAAGCTTATGATTATGGTCATGGGGCGGTGGAACGAATCTAACTGGCCCAAGGAAATAATGTAGTATTCTGCACTCCTTGGCCTTTGTATGAGGTATATAATCCTGACTTTCTGGCAAGAAGAATTCCAGAATATATGCACCTTGTTCCTCATTCCTTGACTCTTCGATTGATTCAGATGACTCTATTTCCATATCATCATCCAAACATAATATGGAAAAATGCTTGGAGTGTGGACCAATGCGCTCAAACACATGAACTTCAGGACTTTCAACATCCTCAACATCAATGATACTAGAGTCAACAAAATTTATATCCTTAAAGTCCTTGGTTGGCTCTAGTCTCACTTCTTCAACATTGATATCCTCAAATTGTAGTTGGCTAGGTTGTTGATGTTCTACTCTGACCTCCCCAATTAACACCTCAAATTCATGCTCTTCTTGGATGCTATCCTCAATATTGGCCTGTTGAGCATTAAAAGCTCCAACCACTTGACTCAATTGAGCCTCCAACTTGCGAATAGTTGCCTCTTGCCTTTCTATGTGCAATTGTTTCTCATTGTTTTGTTCCAGAAGACACTTTAGCATATCCTTGATCTCCTTCAGGTCCGCATTCCCAGGTTCTTTGTTCCTATTAACTTCACAAGAAAAGGTAGAACCATCATAGTAAGGGGTTGGGGGAAAATAAGAAATATAAGCACAACCATGAATGTGACCATTTTTACCACTACACACATCACACACATTTCACAAGTAAGATTGAGTTGGTGCACATAACTCGCTCTCAGGAATGTTTTGAAAATTTTGCCACGGGTGATTTCCTTTACAATATGTATGGAGATCAATAGTATAATTATCTACACCTAAATTCTCATAATTCCAAGATGTCATGTTTCTCAAATCAACAGTTATAAAAAAAATACCAAGAAAAAACAAAACAAAATAAAAGTTCAAACTTGAACCCTAGCAATATATACAGCTACAACTACACGTTAGTTCCCCGGCAACGGCGCCAAAATTTGATCACGCCCAACTCTAGTCCTAAAAAGGATAAGCGGTCGCTGCAAATATAATCCGGTCTAAAAGTCCGGAGTCGAATCCCACAGAGAACTAAGGTTTCGCTGTAATTGTTCAATATCGCAAAGAAAACAAGTTTGAACAATTTCTAAATTATAATATTAAGATTTTTATATCTAACTAATTAACCTACAAATACTATAAAATGGTAAAATTATCAACTAACGAGACAAAGGTTTGGAGACTAAATTAAGGTGGTCTAGAGTTATGATTTCCCCAATTGTTGATTTCATTAGTTGTATGTTTCTTATAGCTTTGACTTAGTTGCCTCTATCAATCATGAACTCTCCAGCTATCATAAATCTCTCTCAAGAAATTATGATAATTTACTAGACGCACTCTCTCAAGCTACTCTAGCTAGATTCACATTACAGTTCACTTAGATCGCACTCGAGGTATCATTATCTCTAATCCAACCTCTAAACCCTCGGTTATGACTATCGCCTATACTCCGGGAGTGATGTTGTTCAAACAACTACCTAAATATGCACTCTCTCTCAAGCAGATACATAATAAATAGGAACGGCTAATTGAGGATCCTTTCAATTAACCAAAATCAAAACGTAGTTGAACAAATAGAGATTAACAACTAACTCAAAGCTATATTAATATAACAACTAATTCATCCCTAAAAGGTTCCATCAAAACCTTAAAAAATGAATTAGCTATTCATAATAGTATGTGAAAACACAATACTCAAAATCATAACCAACAATGAAAAATAGGAAGAGGAAGGAAAAACTCGTAGAAGAATTCTCCGCCTTGCTCCCAATGTGTTCTTGCCTCCTTAGGTCGAATCTATGTTTCCAATCTGTCCAACCTCTCAAAATAGCATTTTTACATGTATTTATACCAAGTAGGGTCGGGCCCAGATGAAAAAAAACCATTCCTACGCGAACTAGGACTTAGCTCTGTAAAAATTGAACAGCCGCGCCGCAGGCTGCGTCGCACCATGCGGCGCGGTAGTGCATTTTAGCTGCAGCTTCATATTTTCAAGTCAGGCACCATTTTACACTGCTGCGCCGCGCCTTGCGGTGCAATAGTGCAATTTTTCTCAGAGTAAACTTATTTCGTCCTCTTTTAACATCCAAACTTGGTACACGACCCCCGAAAACGATCCCGGCTTAATGTATTGGGCTTTTACTCAGACTTCAAAGCTCCAAATTGATCAATTTAGCTCCAAAGTAACTTTTCAGCTCAGGATCACTTCCTTCAAGGCATAAAACACGTACTAAGTGCAATTCACTATCATTTGAACTCAAACGCACGTAAAAAATGCAGTCATTGGCATGTAATACTACGGCTAAAACACGGGTTTCTAGCCTAACATCAGATACCGCCCCAACTCAACCAGAAATGAACTTTATGCTTTGGAATTGTCGTGGAGCAAATAACACTGATTTTCGTCGTAACTTTCGCTTATTACTAGACTACCATGGCCCGACCTTAGTTGTATTGTTTGAAACTCATATGCATGACCATACTGTGTTATGTGATGATTTCCATTTCACTAACTTTTATAAAGTTCCAGCTACGGGTCAAGCGGGTGGTATTGTACTCCTCTGGCATGATAATGTACTAGCTGTTGAAAATCTTGCTATGACTGAGCAGGAGGTACATGTCATGATACAGGTATTTCCCAACCCTCAAAAGTGGCTTTTTCCCGCAATTTATGCTAGTCCACACTATCACACATGTCGATTATTGTGGCGTAACCTAATGTATTTAGCTGATACTTATAAAGGTCCTTGGCTCGTTAGGGGAGATTTCAACGAAATCTTGTGCTCTACAGAAAAATTTGGTGGCCGCCCAATTAGTAACCCTCGTTCAAGTCGGTTTGCTGACTATTTAAATTATTGTCAATTAGTAGACCTTGCATATACTGGTAGCAAATACACCTGGACAAATAAGCGTCACTATGGTAGCAATATATTAGAAAGGCTTGACAGAATACTTGCTAATTATGATTGGATAACTCTATTCCCTGAAGCTTCTGTCCGACACTTGCCTAGAACACATTCCGACCATAACCCTCTACTTCTCACTTTCCACTCCCCATACCCCCAACAAATAAACCCTTTCGTTTTGAAACTATCTGGACCTCTCACCCTGATTTTATCCATATTCTCCGCAATAGCTGGCATTGCCCGAAAAGTTTATTAGAAACTATAGACTCATTCACAAAAGATGTGAGGGAATGGAATAGGACCACCTTTGGTAATATTTTTTTATAGGAAAAAACACTTGTTAGCCCGTTTGGACGGCATTCAATCCTTTCCAAACTACCCTACTAGTAGATTCCTACAAAACCTCGAAACAACTCTCTTACAAGATTATAATACTATTCTACGACAAGAAGAAGAATTCTGGAAACTTAAATCCCGCATCCATTGGTTACAAGACGGTGATGCTAATATAAAATTTTTCCACCTGTCTACACTCCAATGTTGTAGGCGAAATCACATATCTGCCCTAAAAGATAGTACTGGAAACTGGTGTTTCGATGCACAACAAGTTTGCTCTTCTATTTTTCGGTATTATGAAGGTCTTTTCACTACTGACCTGACACTTTCCTCCTTGAGTCTTTCTAGTAACTATCATACTTGTCTTACACCAAATCAATATTCTGAACTAGTTCAACCTTTAACTGACAAAGAAATCATCTCTGCGATGAAATCTTTCAAACCATTCAAAGCCCCGGGTCCCGATGGCTTACACCCCTACTTCTACCAGCATTTTTGGAATGATATAAGTCCCAAAGTTACTGCTTTTTGCAAAAATGTTTTTACTGAATTTACAATTCCTGCCGACATTAATAAAACATACCTTTGTCTTATTCCCAAGGTACGCCATGCCTCCACTATCACTCAATATCGACCTATCGGGTTATGCTCCACTATTTATAAAATTATTACTAATATTATACTTCAACGTATTAAGCCTTTACTACTTAATATTACAAGCCCCACACAATCTAGTTTTCAACAAAATCGTCGAGCAGCGGACAATGCGATTATAGTCCAAGAAATTATCTCTCACTTTAGACGGAAAACTGGTCGGACGGGCTACATGCTCCTTAAACTTGATCTTGAAAAAGCATTTGACAGACTAGAATGGTCTTTTATTCGTCAAGCACTTCACTACTTCAACTTTCCGCCAAAACTCATACAACTTATTATGTCCTATGTTACCACGTCCTCCATTTTTATTTTAATAAATGGTACTCCTACGCCTTTTTTTAGCCCCTCCAGAGTAATAAAACAAGGTGTTCCTCTCTCCCCTTATTTATTTATATTATGTATGGAATTACTCACTCGAAAATTGACATTGCCGTTGACTATCAACTCTGGAAACCAATTCAAATCGCTCGAAACGGCCCAGCCATCTCACATTTATTTTTTGCAGATGATATGATTCTTACTGCTACAGTATCTACGAAGAGTTACCATACCATTATTGATATCCTTAATGACTTTAACAATACCTCAGGTCAAAAAATCAATTTCGAGAAATCAAAATTTTTTTTTCCCAAAAACTGTAGGCAGTGTGATAAGGATTTTATCTTAACTTCCTTCAATATGCGTGAGGGCACTACCTTTGGAAAATATCTAGGATTTCCCATCTTCTCAACACGCCCCTGCAAACGAGATTTTCAATTCCTCATAGACAATTTCAAATCTCGATTGGCAGGCTGGAAAACTAAATTTCTCACCACTGCGGGTCGCACTACTTTAATCAATTCTACCCTTAATAGCCTGCCTAACAACCTCATGCAATATATTCAATTATCGAAATCTGTCGTTAATCAATTATAATGTTACCAACGCAACTTCCTTTGGGTAACCACCGCTATCAAAAAAAAGATGCACCTTCTGAAATGGAGTAAAGTCACCACCCCTAAAACTCAGGGTGGTTTGGGAATTCAGTCAATACACCTTAAAAATAACTCACTTTTCGCTAGTCAAGCTTGGCGCCTTTTGCAAAATCCCTCATCCCTTTGGGCACGCACCTTACTATCCAAATATCTACCCTCTGGCGCAAATCCCCGTTCACATACTTCCTTTATTTGGAAGAATTTAACTACCAGTTGGGTCCTCTGTCAAAACGGCCTTCAATGGATAATAGGGGACGGTCAACGTATTAATTTTTGGACAGACTCCTGGCTCGCAGCAAATACATCACTACGAAATCTCATATCGGGCCCACTCCCCCTACAATCGCTGTTTACAAAAGTCAGCACCTATCTCTCTTCACACAACTGGGACTTCTCAACTATCCTTTTCGAATTACCTAACATCATCACAAAACGTATCCATGCAATATATATACCCTCCTTTACTCAATCCAACGGCTCGTTCGTTTGGTCCCTCACACCTCACGGGAAGTTCACCACCAAATCACTTTATCATTCACTTCTCCCTCCATCTACTGAGACCTCTTTTAAATGGCTATGGAAATTATTTATTCCCCCCAAAATAAAACATTTCCTATGGCTCTGTTGCCATAACAGACTACCCACCAATGCCTACTACAATCGCATTGGACTCATTCCCAATAACACCTGCACCATTTGTTCCTCAGGCCCTGAAACTACCACTCATTTGCTTTTCCAATGACCCGATGCCCTCCGTCTCTGGACAGAACTCTCCATGCACAGCCACCTCTCTACAATTAATTATCACTCCTCTTCACCCATACTTTGGTTACAACGCTTTATAAATCACACTCCTACACAAAATACTCTCCACATCCCAAGCTCTATCGTCATGCCTTTCTCCCTTTGGCATATTTGGCTTAACAGAAATGCCTCCCTTTTTCGAAATCACAAAACACCCTTAACCTCGACATTTGTCCTTCACAAGGCTGCTGAATACTATTACGTTGCCTTACCACATAATCCACCCCCTACCCGACTTCTTATGCACATTACATGGCACCCTCCCCCAACAAACTTTTATAAATTAAATTGCGATGGAGCTGCAAAATTGCAATCACATCGCGGGGGTTTCGGTGGAGTAATTAGAGACTCACAAGGTTCATGGATCATCGGCTATACGGGTTCATGTTTCACGTCTTCAAGTATCCACACTGAGCTTCTTGGACTTTACATGGACTTAAAATCGCCTTTTTTCGTGGAATTAAACCATTGGAAATTAACATAGATGCTCAGGCAGTACTTTCTCTCATACAACACAATTCTCATCCTTTATTTACTAATCTAGTTATTGATTGCAGGTACCTTCTGCGACAGCTGGATGACCCCATCCTACAACACACGTACATGGAGATAAATAGGGTGGCTGATATACTCACCAATTTTGGATGCAACATGGACAACTCTGAAGACTTCCTTACTTACACAACTCCGCCATCTGCAGTACTAACGGCTTTGGAAGAAGATCGGCTAGGAATGCTTTTTGTCAGAAACATAGTACCTACTACTGACTATGTCTTGCGTCAACCTGACACCTCTTTTTGTACAACTCTTCCAAGGGAATTAGATAGTTCTAGCTCCACCCCCCTCCCCACTTTTTGTAACGACCCACCACGAGGTCGTCCCCGTAGTTCTTCTACTCTAGAAGGCCAGTGTTGTCCTGTGCCTCGTTTAAACTTAGCTCCTTGTACTATGCCACCGTAATTTTAATATAATTAGTTTCTTTTGGACCAAAAATAATATACAATTTGCTGCAATAGAAACTTGTACTTCATTTGTAATATCACTAATTTTATTAGTATCTGTCTATAATTATGTCTGATGAATGGTTAATAGTGTTCCATTGTGTTTTTGCACTAAAAAAACAATTTTATTATTTTTCGCGTAATTTAAATCATATTCGTAAGATGCTTAGTTTTATATACCTTTTTCCGTATTCCCCATTCTGTTGCTATTTTTGGCATTTGATTTGGATGAGAAGTTTAATTTTGGGTTATTTTCAAAAATAACATGGGCTAGGATTTAAAATTCTCTCTATTTTAAGTCTAAAGAAAACAATGATAAATTCTATAATAATTAACATAATATTTAACATATGCGAAACCCTTTTTTCTTGTTGTTTAAGTTTTATGCATTGTTATTATAAAGATTTTACACTGTGGGGGTCATTCATAAGGTAATTATATGTAAATCTCTTGATAAATATTAATTGGCAATTTGATAGATATGGTAATTAATCAGCTATCAAATGTTAAAATTTTATGATAGTGCATATTGTTTACCCCAAAATGAATAACAATTAAATTTTTACGCGGTTTAAATGATACGCGGTATAACTCAATACGAATAATTAAAAACAATAGGTAAATGAGTTAAAGACAAAATAAATGATCAACTAATCGCAATGTAATGACCAAGCCTGATCTTAGATTGAACGGTGGAATTTGTCCTCGATTGTACCCTCGGTACAAGCTCGGTCGCGAGATGAATAATGCCTTGAACAATAGCTAGAAGACAAAAGTGTACTTTTATTGCTTTGATTTGCGTGTCAGAATGTGTCAGAATAAAGAAAATCTTCCCCTTTATATAGTAGGGAAATTTCAGTCCTAGTACAAGTCTAAATATGGTAAAAATCTTCTTTTTCTGGTAAATATTGATCTACAGTTGATACTGAACGGGATTCACGCTGTAATATTCGGTTGAGGGCGAATATTACCGCCCCCTACTCGTCAAGCATAATTGTTCACCGCGTCCCCCGAGGTCCAGAAGCTATACTTGATTGGGGTCCGTCATTTCGCCGTGTCGGATATCAGATACATCGTTCATTCCTCCCGGGTTTCGATATGAGGGGCTCTTGGGCCTATATTATAATCACGTCAAGTCGTGCTTCCCTTTGTTCCCTTATCGGGGAATGGGGAAAAACTTCGCCCCCATTTACCCGTACATAAATAGTCCCCTCGTTTCCCGGAGAGTAGATTTATCGCAGTGACGAGAAACGATAAAATTAAGACCGATTACTTCTTCCGTACGCTACAACCGAGTTGACTGGTCAGTGAAACGTCCCATCAATCGCGTCGTTCTGACTTGGACACGTGTCATCCATCGGTTGGCCGTCCTCGAATGCGAAACATCACGCATTGATTACCCTTCCTCTATAAAAGCTCAAATCCCCTTTTTTATTTTTTTACTTTCCGATTCCAGAGCTCCTTGATTTACCCTCGAATTCTTC